AAAGAGAGAGAGAGAGAGAGAGAGAGAGAGAGAGAGAGAGAGAGAGAGAGAGAGAGAGAGAGAGAGAGAGAGAGAGAGACCATGGGCAGTGATTTGTGATTCCGGGCCTGCACTGGCCTGTCCCGTTCACCAGGGCAAAAACATAGCAGGCATTGACCTTTGGGGAGAAAAAAAAAAAGAAGGTTATATTCAAATACAACAATTTTCTCTTCGTGAAATTCAAATATAATGCATATGCGGATCATTCGAATAGAACGAATATGCGTTATATTCAAAGTGCCCTTGTATTCGAAGAAAAGGGTCTAACTTTCCAAAAACCCGTTTTTTTGGAAAACTCGAAAGCAACGCATGTGCGTTATGTTCGGGGGAAGACGGTAGTATACAGGGGACCAAAAAGGGAGGTGGAGCTACTGGCAAAATGCTCGGTCTTTGTGTTAGCTGGGTCCCACTACACAGCTAATGCCGGCGGCCCCACCCCATCCTTGACCACCATGGTTGGGGGATGCATGTTGGGACCCCCACCGGTGGGCCCCACCCCATCCTTGACCACCATGGTTTTTATTTTTATTTTTTGGGGGGGGGGCAACCTGCATTCCCTCTGATGGCTGGAGGGAGACAACGAAGCTATGTCCGCACAATCTTTTTCTGGCCGAGTGCCGAAGGTGACTCTCATATGTCTCTAATCCAGCCTCTACAATATCCTGGAGCCGGGACCCACTAGCGTCGAGTAAAGCGGTGTGTGGCGTTCTTTTCTCATTTAAAAACGCATAAACAATGCTTTTTATCATTTACACGAATGCAAAGAAAAGGACCCAAAAAATGAAAAATTACGGGGCCTGACATAGACATCATGACAGAACTTCAGTGCATCCACACTTCCACCAACCCCGTACATCTGTATGCGACCTACCCGCCGGCCTGTTCGCAGTCTTCCACGGAAATCTCAATATTCTCAATTTCTGCGAAAAAAAAGCAAGGCGCGAAGTTGCAAAAACGCCCCCCCCCTTGAGAAACTCCAATATTGCAACTTCGCGCCAACACAAAGTGGCTAGCTAAATGGACTAAAAAATGAAAACGAAACTCTTCTATTGGCCAGCGGACAGAGACCTCCATATCGCCCTGCGCCGAAGATACACAAAAGGATCGCCGGATGTCACCTCTCGCCGCACGTTGAAAGCCAAACTGCTGAAGATGCTAGTGGGTCCCGCCCCCTGGGCTTTATGTAAAAAATAATAATAATAATAATAATAAAATCCAGCCTCTACAACGAAGCTTTGTCTGCATTTTTTTTTTTTTTTTTTTTTTTTT